GCATTGTTCTTGCATTTCAATACCAATTGCTTTCTATTCCCGTTCTTCCAATCTTCTGCTGCCAGACATTACATTCCTGTCTCGCGTTATATACTACTTATGTCAATATAAGTAGCATGCACCATAGTTAAAGTAATTTTTTGTGACAAGATAAAGGTTTATAAGACATTACACTTATTTAAATACGGTATTATATTTCAGTAATTTAATAGTAGAATTCATGAATTAATTAAGACTGGATCACCATGGAAAACCTGGAAGCATTCGATGATCGTTTCGTCCTTGTATAAGACTACTTAGCAGTACACACCCACGATCCTTTTCATGAGGTTTGAAACCAGAACACTTGCTCATGCGTACTTCCAGGTTTTCCATGATGGTTTAGCTTTAATCGTCTAATGAATTCATTTGTTAAGTTACTACAATCTCCATAAACTACCCTTTCTGATTTCAGTAATTCACTTATGGTTTTATCAAAATATTCAGTGTGTATACTTCAGATGTATTCGAGTAAATAAATAGTTATGATTTATTGAAGGAGAAAACAAATGAAGACAATCGAATGTACTGGAATAAATAATTGTAGAATCACTTGGTAATATCTAAGAACCATACAGTGAATACTTCAATCAATCGTCTCAATCTTCATTGTTTTTTCGTTTCCATACCAATCATTCATTCGAGCTTTGTAACCTTCTGTTGTCAGGTATTTCATTTTCTATTAAAGATACATACTACTAATTTCTGCTGACATCAGTAGCACACACCATAAGTAGACAGGCTTACAAAATTCCATAAATCGTCAACATACCAAGTGACTATTTCAAAAAACAATTTCTAGAAATCATTATTATTGTAACATTAAGATTAAAAGTTTACACTCGTTTACTTTCAATCTCAATGTTAATGGGAGAAAATAATGAAGATACTATCATTTGAAATAGGTCTTAATGTTCAAAAATAAACTGATGGGATGTCTTATAAGGAACTAGCTGAGAAATCGCATTTGACGCGCGTTTCGTCCCATTTGAGACTCGTCAGCTGGATGTACCTGTATCTCAGAGTTGATGTTCACTTATGGTAATAAGAGGCTGATCGATTGCAGTCTTCAACATTCAAGTAAAACCATACCAAGTGAATTAAACTTTACCCCATCGAACAAGCAAGTGGCTATCAGGACTCAGTAGTTAAGTGGATAAAGCGATGGCGTTTGTAGCGAACGGTACTGTGTTTGAGTCCCACAGTGAACATCAATTGTGGAATACAGGTACATCCAGCTGACGAGCCAGAAATGTGGCGAAACGCTCGTCCTGGATTTCATTGCTAGCCAATATCCATCTCTGCTTATAATTAAGGCAATAGTGAGACAATTCGCATAGTATGCACATATGACAATAAAAGAGACTGATCAATTGCAGTCTTAAACATCAATTGGAAGATTCAAGTAAAACAATACCAAATGAATGATTGAATGTTTGTCCACTATTATTAAGATTATGCAAGTTTTACATGAAACTAACAACGTATCTTAGTACGGTATCTTTTCCTTACCTTATGTACATAAGTACTCAAGTCAATCGATTACAATCAATTATTGTCTATTGTGCAACGGAATAGACATTCTCAATTGCATATTTATCATTTCTATATTTTCATATTTAATATAGACACTTATGACAGATACAGATCAATACTATCGGAAGTCAGATATTTATACTTGAAAATATTGGATACAACTATATTTACCATTTCGCTTTTTTTTGTGATGATAACAGATACTCAGTGTAATTTAAAATTGATTAGTCCTTGACAAGGTAACGAAAATCTTTGAGTGATAATTATTGAACTGGTATAGATTCAGTCAATCAGTCAAAACGTACAACTAGGCACATATATGCATTGGTACAAAATGCCACACCTCATTAGTACACCAAAACGAACACCGAATTTGTAGAAGTAGTCAATTCAATGGTGATAATATATAAAAGAAAGACTGCATATAGGAATATAGTACAAAAAGACAGAATTAGTTGGTAGAAAGAAAGATATGAAGTGATTTTAATTTCATAGTTTAAGGGAAGACAGAGAGTGTATACACCTACGCCATTGTGATCGATTTTGAGTCATGTCATACACAGTCTCCAACCATTGATTACGATAGTCACACGGACCCCAACCAAGTAGTCTGCACCTCCCAACATGGATCAGACTAGAAGTTAGTGATTTCAAGCACTGATATCACGTTTTGGTTTGCCCCACCCTTAACTTTCTTCCGACCATCCCCAACACTATTCAGCATTGCTCATCATGGTAATCGATATTTAGATGTTCTGATATAGAACCATCGGTCTTATCTAATCTGGTTTAAAATCGATACTTTTATTAGTTACTTTTATAACTTTCATCATTTTTTTCTCATTATTCATCTTGTTATAATTAGTGAATTAGAAAAGAAAAAAAACGGCCTTTCACTGCTTACAGGCTCTCCTTGGTGAATTATGAATTCAACTATTAAATTTATTAATTTGTATTCTTTCATCAGAGGAATAAATATGTAAAAGTACTTCAACATTATGGATTGTATGTAAGACACAGGTGCGTTTCTCAAAAGTGTACAACCTATCGTTGTACAAGCTACAAAAAGCTTAATCAAAGATATCGTAGTTACTGACAATAAGCAGCGAAAATGATGTACATTATTTAGATGCAGATTCTTAGACTGCTAACTTCTAACTGGCAACTACTCAATATTTGTCGTCAGGATCGATCAAGAAATAAGAAACGGAAACTCGCCGGAACACTATATGGTGCCAAAAATATAACATTGAATAAAGCTAATAAAAATAATAATAGAAGTTGGATACAATCTAAGAATAATGACTGGGAAGTTATACGAATAATTTACCTAAGGAGAATGTAAGAGCCATTCAGAAAGTGTAAGCAGATTGTGAAAAAAAAACGCTAAGATGTTTTAATTATCTAACAGAAATGGTTCATGAAATGATTATAAACCTCCATAAATATTATAAGCAAAGATTAATAATGGCTAACAGTATAATACAGGATGCGCGTTTTGTCCCATTTTGGAACTCGTCAGTTGAATGTACCTGCATCTCAGAGTTGATGTTGGCCTCGGGACTCGAACCCAGTACTGTTCGTTTCAAACGCCATCATGTTTAACAGTTAGTGAACAATTTTCATTATAATATCTATGAAGTAATATATTGTAACTTACCAATATTTTATAAATTCAAACATGTAATCTGATATTTATAGCGAATTATTAATAATACACAGGAAACTAAACTATTCATATTCATGTTCCCCTTATTATAAGCTATAGATTGTTATTATACGATTTACTGTTCTTAAGTTATGCTCAGTCTATGATCTCTCATATTCACATTCACTTTTGGCTAGATCTTGTACAAATGTGTATTTTCTATTCAATGGTACAATGTGATCTGTTTGGTTGATTTATATAAACCCAATATGTTTGAAATAAATGATTCATATCTCAGAGGGTGAGATTGGTGTTCTGAAGTTAATAGGACCGATAAAGTTTCTAGATTGCTCATACGGGTTTTATGCGTCACTTGGTTCAGTTGATAAATCACTGTTCCCTAAATGGTGATATCATTACCTTATACAATAATAGGACACAGAGCACCAGTTATAACAATATGTCAATTATCTTCTTGGAGATGCTGTGCTCTTTGAACTGAATAGTTAACTAAAGAAGTCTTCATTGAACTTTTATATAATAAAGATTGGTATTGTGGTGAAAAATTAACTTCAGTAAATGTTATAAAAAACAAAAGTAACTGAGTTATAAAATTCATCCGTGTTACAAGACAAGAAAAAAAACGAAGTACGCCACAGTATCTGTTCATTGGTAACGCTATCTATTCTGTAGTTAAGGTCTGAAACGATCGACTGATATATGAAAAAGGAACAATCAAGTTTGAGACAATTGATTGAAGTATTCGCTGTATGATTCTCAGATTTTAATAAATTATTCTGTATTCCGTGTTGTCGTTCGCTGCAATTCCGCAGTATGACAGTTAGTAACAACAAATAGTGCTTAATAATGGATAGCTTTTGGATGAACAGGCCATATAACATCAAATGCTATGGTGTGTGCCACTGATGTCGACAGATATAAGTAGTATATATCATCAGTAGAAAGTGAAATGTCGCTGAGACTATAATTTATGGAAAACCTTTGACCGACACTGAAGTGAGAATGAACATCTACTGATAAAGACTAAATGAAGGTTAGAAATTAGATTTATTCTTTTTATCATGCAATGATATCAGTTGTGAGATAGTAACTAACTGATGACAATGGTGGATGTGTCGCTCGATTTCGTGGATTTGTTGAAGTTAGACATTAACACCGTTAGATGCTGACCAACTCAGTGGTCTAGTTGGTTAAGCACCTGACGCGACACTGATAGGTCCTGTGTTCGAATCCCGAGAGGCAGGGTCGTGGCTGCACACTGCTGAGGAGTCGCACAATAGGACGAAACGGCCGTTCAGTGCTTCCAGGTTTTCTATAGTGGTCTAGCTTCAATTGATTCATGATCTCAACTGATGGAATTACATACATACATACCATATATATTATCCCTGGTTATTTATTATTACATTAATTAGCCAATCAAATAATTCAACCAATCATAAGCTTAGATTATTTTCCCATTTATTTGTGTCTTATATTTAAACATATGATTTTCTAATAAATGAAATGAATGAATTACATATTACCCAGCAACAATACCAATGGATTATTTATATTATTATTAAAACAAACTAAGCATCAATAGATTAGGTTTACTGTAAATGTAGTTATCAAATATGACAATTGATGGAGTCTACTTTGATACCAATGAAGGTATACCGTCATATATACATAAATGCAATACCTCTATTCCATGTACATCCATATATTAATATTAGTATTGACTGAGTATAAATAAAGATAAACCCTAATTTGTATGGATCAAATCATTAAGATAATGTGGATATCTTTATTATTATTTACTGGTCAAAATTATACTGGTAAGTGATTAATACTGTACTGAATGTATCATATTTACCAATCAACATGTTTACTAATGATATCAATGTAATATGAAATGATCGATTTTATGCATTCTGAATTGTTATTATAAGAGAGCAGTTTTGTAGATGTTTTACTCCGCATGGAGCCCCTCCGGATGTACTGTCAGTGCCAAGCCTGGATAAAGGAGGAGGGTTGGGTATGGGATTAGTGACTCCATCCTGTAGAAAAAAACTTTAACAAGAAAAAAACAACCATTTAAACTCTGTCCTGGGAGTTAGAAGGTCTTCATTTTGAAGAGTTATAACTTCTGTTTGATGAAAGCCGAATTCCTTTGGAAGTCATGAAACGGATGCTCTTTCTGACAATCAGAGCAACCATTAATTTAGGTACATGGAATATTCATACAATATTGGCAGATCAGGCGAGTCATCCACGTTACAAGTTGCATGTAGATACTGTCATTTAACTAGTCTTACGTAAAATAAAATGTGTAGGATACATTTTATTATTAGCCAGTACTGAAAAATATGCATATTTTCACGTATATGTTTGAATATCTGACGTCAGTATTGTATATGATCTAGTTATATACACGTAACTAATTGAAACAATGATATTTTGTGTGAAATAGTTTCATCTTATAGGACTGTGATTATCATTATTTAAAAAGTGAAATAGTAGTAGCAGTGATGTAAATACATTTTATCATGATCAAAACTCAATCTAAATTAGAGAACCATTTGAGAAACTGGAGGCACGGAACTGCCGGTTTCGTTATAGTATGGGATTCGGCACTAATGTGTATTTATAGTGTTGCAGTGAATGGGAACACAAATGGGGATAATCAAATAGAATTAAATACAAAATTACAAAATCTCTTAGTAAAATCTGAAAACCATACAGTAAATACTTAATTTGCAAAATGTCAATCAAGTGTCTTAGAATTCATTAGTCTTACGTTTCCACATCAATCGTTCTCTGTTCTCGTTCTCTTTCCTTTGATCTTAACATTCTGCACCAAGATATTTCACTTCCAATTGATGATTCATACTACTTATATCTGTCGACATCAGTAGTACATACCACAATAACACGACAAAACTTTAGAGAACGCTGAGATATTTTATTGAATAACTATTCATGTAATAATTATATGAAAAGATTTTGGTTGCTTAGATGATATTCAAGATCCTTTCGATACTCATGAAATTTAGATTTAATTCAATCATCTAGCTCTATTCATGTCTAGACAAAAGAAACATTTATTACTGTATGAAATAGGTTACAATGATTAAATAGTATAACAAATACGTATGATACTACGAATAAATCACTAAAACGTCAGTCAGTCAGATACAACGTAGGACCACGCACATTTATGCATCTGTCCTAGTTGTCATACCTCATTAACATAACAAAAACAACATAAAATTCACAAAATTAGTTAATTCAGAGGTGGTAATATATAAAAGAAAGATTGCATATAAAGATATAGTACAGAAAGAAAGAATTAGCTCGTAGAGAGGAACATATAAAGCGATTATAATCTCTCAGTTTAAGGGAACACAGAGAGTGTATACAACTACACCATTGTGATCGATTCTGAGCCATGTCACACAGAATCTCCAACCATTGATTTCGATAGTCACACGGACTCTAACTTGTTTCACACTACAAGTTAGTGACTTCAAGCACTGATGCCACGTTTTGGTTTGACCTCCCTTAACATCACTAAACATGATATGATTGACTACCTTATCATGGAAGACATTTGATTCTGAAAATAATTTTTCTCAATAAATAAACGTATCTAACAATTACTACTATTATAAAATGCATCGGTCAAATCAAAATTATCATCTCTTATACTGAAGATGTTGTCTAGAATGATTATAAACACTTTACACTTAACTCTTTGTTTGTTTATAGAATTATTCTTCACTCGTTTTTCTTTTGTTGAAAGCCCTATCATGTGGGAAAACTTCAGGAGGTTTCGTACTATAAAACATAATCATCAGTTGTTTCTTTATTTCTGATCAAACTAAAGTTTACACCAATGATAATTTGAAATTTATGATATTAAGTTAACCTTCATCAAGTGCATAACACCTTTTGTTTAGCACTGGTTAGTTACATGTAGTGGCTAAATAGCAATATTTATTGTTTCGGAAAAAACTTATCACTGAGTGGTGACCATTGTCAGTGTATGGTTACTTCTTAGAGTATATTCAAATGAATCTGTCAGACTGATTGAAAAAGACTAATTACGTAAATTTTGATTATCAACTACGTCTCAGTGTTTGCTATGTGGTTAGAACTACATGATCTCATAAGTTCTTTAATCCGTCTGTATACTACACTTAACAATTAATGGTTGAATGTTATGTGTGTATAAACGTGTGCTTTAGACAAAAGTACTGTCAATCAAATATTTTTCTTTGAAAAAAAAACTTTCTAGATTTCATCCTCAGTAATCAGTCAATCAGTCAGAAACAACGTAGAACTTCGCACGTACATCAGTTCGAGTTGCCATAACACAGCCCAGAGAGACAATTGTCGATTCAAATTCCATAGTGGTAGAGATAGTAAAAGTATAAGCAGTAATCGTAAACATTAGGGTTTGAAGATGTTATTCAAGGAGTATAATCCGGTGAAATAAGTTTGCAAAAAGAACAAAAAGGAACATGAAGAATTCAGAAGATTAGAAGTTGGATGCACCTGTGCCATTGTAAACAATTTTGAGCCATGTTATTGAAAGTCTCTAATCATCGGTTGCTATCGTCTCGCGGATCCCAACTAGGTAGTCTACACCTACCACTTGTCAGTGACTTCATGGACTTGTGCCATGTTTTGGTCTGGTCACTCCTAACTATCTTTCAACCTATTCCTACACAATAAAATATCACAGTTCGGGACATTCAGTGGTTGGGCATATTTAACACATGTCCCATCCATCTCAAATTGATGAAATTTCATTACTTCATCAATTGATTTGCCATCCTTACCTAGAACCCGTAAAGATGCTGAATAATATATATAAACTTTCGCCTAATTTGATAGATTAGTATCATAGTATTTGGACACCGAGTAAATGTGACACATTAAAAAAGAAGAAAATATTTGAAAAACCTTTGGATCAGATTGCTAGATGAAACGTTGAATGTCCTTCATATTTATTCTCTGAGAATTTACAACTACATCCTAAGTGTAATTAATGTGGCAAAATACGAATCCGTAGATTAAACCAGTTAATCACTAACACAATATATGTTTTTGAACAATACACAACTGATCTATATAAGAAAGAGAACAAAAAAGCAACCTTCTAAAACAACCGGTCAAAGTTCACTTATACTCGGAAGAGAATCCACTATTCTTTCTTGATTTGATGAAATATAAATTTTTTTTGATAAATGAGTATATATGATGATAGTCAAGTTAGTCAACGAACTAGACAATAGATTACCTCTTTGTTACTATGAACAATGTTTTATAATTAGTTTCTGATACTTTGTAACTAAGTCAATAATGTGACTGATATTGAATCGGAGTCTTAGAGTGAATATTAAGACTGAGATACTGGTATATCTAGACGACAAGGTACAATTAGGATAAAACGAATGTCTAGCTACCTTTCAATTACTTTATACTTATTTAAGTTAAATATTTTTATGAGATTCATTCACGCAATGAATGTTTACTATACACTTTATTGTTCATGCTGGAACTAACAATTTCATGCTTAGTTACTATCTATGTTACTTCATGGAATTGAGGTGAAAACTTGTTTTCATTACTGATCAAATAAGTTTGAAAAGATATTCACATGTTAACGAATTGTGATAATCATTCAAACGTAACTCTAATTTATACGATATTATAAAGCACATATCATGTACAGATGGATGTTAAATCTTTTAACTTCATCCAGTGACTATTCATTCTATTCATATCTGCTTCTACTTACCAACGTTGGGTGTTCTTCGGCATTCTTCTTTTTCTTTACTATTAAAGATTCCAAGTTAAGGCTTGACTCGTGATGTAGTTTGAGAATTTCCACAATATATGTCCCAACCACTTTCATCTTTTTTTCCTAATCTCCTCGTAAGCTGGAACCTGATTTGTCTTACCTCACAGAAGACTGTTGCTGATGGTATCCGGTCAACTGATATTAAGTATATTGTGCAGACAACTATTGATAAATACTTGTACATTTTTAATGGTTGTTGTAGTAATTCGCGACGTTTCAGCTCCATACAATGGGTTTGAGTTCCATATATTTTTCAGTTGTAGGAATGCCGGCCTTGCTTTGACAATCGTCGCTTTTACATCTCCATCAACAAAACTCATTGTTTTGTTTGTCGCTTGATTTGTGCTTGAGAAAAAGATGAATGTAGAACCCACTTTGTAACAGATAATGTTTCATTTAGAGTGATTTTTTTTGCATTTGATGTTTGACTTTTCTTTTGTATCAGAAGGGGTTTTGTGGAGATTGTAGTAATTTCAACAGTTGAGGTCATGAGTCAATTGAAGCTAGACCACTATAGAAAACCTGGAAGCACTGAACGGCCGTTTCGTCCTATTGTGCAACTCCTCAGCAGTGTGCGCCACGACCCTGCCTCGCGGGTTTCGAGTGTCGCGTCAGGTGCTTAACCAAGTAGACCACTGAGTTGGCCGGCATTTAACGGTGTTAATGTCTAACTTCAACAAGTCCACTATATTTTCTCCCTTTACATCACACAAGTTAAAATTGATTTTGTTGTCTTATGAATGAAGTCATTTACAAGCAGTTTTAATTATCTGGTTGTAATTTCTGATATGTTTGTTAAGAACAGTCAGTAGAATTGATGTATCTAGGGCTTAGATTCTTACTATGTCTTGTATAACTTGAGCAATCGAACGTTAGAAACCTCCATGTCACAAATGAGAAGACAGAATCCAAGTGAAAGGAATGCCATTCTAAAACAGTGTCAATTATGGTACAAGACTCTCAGGT